CGGTTTATTAACATAACCAGAGTTTGGGCCCTAAACATTGGCTAAGATAATATCCGATAGACTAATTCCTTCATTCCAATAACTAGCAAAATTTTGATATTAAAATTGCATAGTTTCTAATAATTTATCTAAACATCACATAAATCATTCTACATATAAAACATATATTACAACATTTAAAATCCATACTTATTATATTCCTTTCTTTGCCGTAGTCTGTCTTCAACTTTCACACATCCATACCAAAACCTCAACATTCTTCAAGAGAAAAAAAAATTAACACAATCGTAGTTGTTCATTGATTGATCTAGCCGATTACAAATACTCGTAGTTAAGTTAATATTTTACTGTTCTTTTCAAATATATACACCATCCCAATATATTTGAACATAACCTTAGTGTCATCACATCTATCAATACTACCATTCTCATACAGATTCCTTTCTATACTTTGACTTAAGACATTTTTTTAATTCTATTCTTTCTTTTACTCTTTTGTGCAAATAGTTTATACTTTTAAGGCACAAACAATTATTTTCCATACTACATAAACTTTATGTTTTGACATCATTAATCCTATTTCGCATTTTTTATGTTATATAAGTTGTTTAACATTTGTCTTAGCTTCAATAGTTCATAAGTCATTAGAGTTTAGAGCCATTACCTAAATTCAATAATCATATTATCTCAAAAAAAAAAAGTATTGAACTACTATACAGTTTTGTATTACAAAATAATAGTTTATTTTATCCAGTCTTTTTTTATCAATTGAATGCTGGATTTTAATCGCAGATAAAGTAAATGAAAAAGTATAAAGTCAATATTTTGAAGGCAAGTCAGGAGACGAGTAGTGTATATTAATGCATCATTCTGTATCAACTACGTGTAATATTCCGATGCCTTATATGCAAAAGATCACGTCAGCATTGTTTAGAATTTGATGCGCAATGTTAATACAAAGAAATCATGATATTACATTTCGATGAATTTTTAAATAATATCTGTATAAAATATTGCAATTTTCATTATTAATAAAACATACATACATAAACACTCACGCCTGTCACCCAGAGAGGTAGGCAGAGACTACGGACTTCCATTTGGCACGATCCTGACATACCTATTTCGCCTCCTTTACATCCATATATCTACGCATACATGCTCGTCGTTTAAGGGTACTTCCTAACGTGGCCCATTTTCAAAATATCGCCAATTTGGTCGATAAACTTTTTTCTAGGGCGTCCCTTCCCGACTCGGCCGTTAACATCTGCCATATAAATGTGCTTTGTCACTCTTTCCTCATTCATTCTTTCTACGTGATCAAACCACCGAAGCATTCCTTTCTTAATCCTGGTCACAACATCATCTTGCATACCACATTTAACTCTTATCACGCAATTTCTCACCCTGTCATTCAGATTCAACCCTAGTATATTTCTTAAAGACCGCATTTCTACAGCATTTATTCTACTTTCGTGCTTCTTCTACCACACCCAGCTTTCACTACCATACATTATACCATACATTAAAGTAGGTACACAGCATTATGAATTACCATACGTGTCTGTTTTGACACATTCTGGTTCTTCATAATAGAGTGTAGTGCCCCATTTACTCTATTCCCTGCATTTACTCGTCGTCCTATATCCCTATCATATCTACCATCCCTGCTAAATACACATCCCAAATACACAAACTCATCCACTTGCTCAATTAACTCTCCTTCTATTCTTATTTCACATACCGTTTTGCTTTCTTCTCTTTCAAAAACCATCACTTTCGTCTTACTTGCGTTCACTTTCATTCCCCTTTCTTTTAATTCCCAGTTCATTAATGTAAACATCATTTGCAACTCAGCCGCCGATGACGCAAATATGACTTGATCATCGGCATACAAAATGCATTTGACGGTTAACTCGCCCATTCTTAACCCACATTCTTCATCTCTCAAAGTTTGCAAACACCGGTCCATAAATAGGTTGAACAGCCAAGGGGAAGCTACACAGCCCTGTCTGACACCTTTTTGGATGCCAAACCATTCCCAGTAGACCCCATTGATCCTGACACAAGCACTAGAGTCCCTATAAAGTGACCTTAATGCCCGTATCAAACCAGCGCTCAACCCATATGAGTTCAGTGTTTGCCATAACACATTCCTGTCCACTCTGTCATACTATATAATAAACTATACTGTATAATAAAACATATCAATTAATATTATTTTGAGTTATTAAGTTAAGCTGCGTTTTAAATTAATATTATTCATCGATCAATTTATCTTTTACAAAATTTATTCATTGAGTTATCGTTTATCTGATAGCAATATAATGAAGTTCCTATTTTTTTCTCATTCATTATGTTAAATATTTTAGAACAAAATAGATAATTAAAATATTCACGCCATAATAATAAGGATATGAATATACAAGTAGCACTTGCTTTCTATTGAGAGTGTTCCGTCTATTAAATGAACGAAATGAGTAAAAAAAATTGGTAAAAAACATTTCTAAATGTGATTGGTGACTAAAGGTATTATATTTTTAATTTTATGAAATTAGAATTTTAAAAGATTTTATTTAAAATCACTCACCTTAAAAATATAATAATATTATTTGTATTTTATACAGTAATTGTTTTGCAGATACATCAAGCATATTTTTAACGTTATGAAGTCTTTAGTCTCTGATTTTTTTTATGTTTCTTGAATATAACATACTTCCCGTTACCTTGTAGATGGAATACACAAAAAATTCAGCCCTCCTAAAAACTGGCCACTCGATAAAATTCTTGATAATTTTATGTTTTGATAAATATCTCCTTTTTGTTTTGCTTGGTTATTACGAGTTTTCGAAAATTGTGTATACTCGTATATCTTGATAATGTAAAATTTCCTATGTGAACACCATTGCGTATTTCAATTTAGAACTTCTCAACCAATATTCTTCTTATCCGGAGTGAAAAAGTTATTTCTCTCATCTTCTTTTATCCTTTTTGATGCCTCTTTGCCTTTTGATTTTATACTTATAATGTTTTAATTTTATTTTATAAATATTTATTCAAAATGATATAACTTTTTGATAGCTGGCTCTACACGACTTCAATTAATTTCCTCAATCCGGGAATGTGTCATAATTTTTAATTAACAATTTCTTAATAAATATATGTATTATAATTTTACTATCGGTGACCAGCCGGTGCACGCGGCGAGCGGAGTCGCGCGCGCACCGACTGGCAGGGTCGCCACGTAATGTCGGGAGGTTCGGGGAATAAATAATATTATGTCTACTGCTCTTGAATGTTGGTTTATTACTGACTGAATGTATATTAGGCTATCATATATATATATATATATATATATATATATATATATATATATATATATATATATATATATATATATAGCTACATGAGCATACACTACACACACACTACAACACACTGTCAGTTTTATTACAAATTCTCGCACTAAGTATTCCATTCATTCATTCAGAAGTCTTGGGCATTTATTTTCGCTTTGAAAACTTACTTTTTAATGAAGTAAAAAATCTAAACTTATTTTCAATTTACAGAGAGGCTTCTAAATGTTTGTCACTGTAAAAATAATATTTAATTTGTAGGTGGTTTACAAATTTCAAATGCATACAGATAAACATCCATGAGTCCTGAGAAATTCTGGATAATATTATTATTATTCATAACACAATAAATAAAACTGTATTTATTTTATTAAAATGTGTTTCATTCTTACATACTTGATAGAGGAAAAGTAACTAAGAAAGGATATTGTTTGCAGAGTAAGCACACACGAAATCCATCAATAAAAGCAGTTCACAGACGAACAATCAAATAAATTGATTCATAATTGCTTCTCTGCTTGCGGTATACCGCAAAATCAAGATATGGATTCCAATTTGTTATATCGAAATATCGTTGCCGGTAAAGTAAGAACTGAACGAAGTCATTATAGCGAATGTGTGTAGGATTAATCAGCGATAGATTTATAAAACATTCTTAACCAAATATTTCCCGAAAACGTTCCTCTGTACATGATTAAAACTATTTTTACGGATTTTATCGCGTTTATTTTTACTTTTTATTTACTTTTATTTTTAATTCCCGACGTTTCGGGCGCTTTCCAGCACCCATGGTCACGGGGGACTGGGGGATAAGAAATCATTACGTTCCTCTGTTAAAAAAAAAGAAAATATTACTAAAACAATTTATAAAAGCGATCTAGGTACGACAAACAACAACTTGACCGATTTTGCTCACAATTTAATGATGACTAAGTTACATAATTATGTGTTAAATGAAACTGACCTAATGTCAATATCACTGTTTATTCTCGAGATAGACGAGGCGAAAATTTAATCCGAACATACATACAAATATACGTACTTCTAATCTATCTTCTTAAAAACCATATTATTCGACTCTAAAGACCTTGAAACGTGGAGATATGTTAATATTTCCAATTTGCAAAATCGGACCCATTACAATAACTTCCCACTGGGAAGTTAATAATATAATGATACTGCAGATGTGTTTGTCACCTCTAAGGTTTAAATTGTAATGCCTCATAACCTGTAATTATATGGCTTTTTATACTATTCAGATCAGCACAGCAGTGCAAACATTGCTAATTGCGGCAGAGGTAGCAGTAGGCTGGTACCTACCCAGAGAGACTTATGCAGAAAAGGAGTCCTAACACCTAGCAGTTTTATGGGTCGCCCCCAGAACATTATAATGGAAGAGCATTTAATCATGTACGCTGTACGCCACGCCCTGCTACACCCTCTCCACTGAGGATTTACCTTTGGACTTTTTTTTATTTATTAAAACTACTTTTACGGATTTTATCGCGTTTATTTTTTCTTACTTTTTATTTTTATTTTTAATTCCCGACGTTTCGGGCGCTTTCCAGCACCCATGGTCACGGGGGGACTGAGATGACTGACGTCCCGATGTCATTGTTAAACCCGGAGTACCTTCAGCTTTTTTTAATTATTGTTTATGGTCCGATCTATGCAAAATGAACTGACTATGTCCTGAGGTCTTGCAGTGGTATGCTTGGGTTTAGTTTTAATTTTATTGATTATAGGATCCCAAGCAGGTGGTAGTACCCAGCCTCCTTCTCTATTGAAATTAGGATGTTTTTTAATTTCAATAGCCTCACGTATCATCCTTGGTAGGAATCGGTGTTCTTTCGCGAGGATTTGTGGTCTATCAAATCTGATGTAATGGTTGGGGCCGTCTAGGATATGATCACAAACTGCAGACTTCCCGGAACGTTGATGCTTCACATCAGCTATATGTTCTTTTACGCGGGTCCTAATTGATCTTTTGGTTTGTCCTATATAAGAGAGACCACATTCACAATCAAGCTTGTACACTCCTGCATCTTGTAGAGGAATATGACACTTGACGGATGGTAGGAACTGACTAATCTTCTTCGGCGGCTTGTAGAATGTTCTAATAGAAGCTCGCTTCAAGATATAGCCAATCTTGTCTGTGACACCTCTGACATATGGTAGTACAGCAGGCACACGCTCGACTGTGGCGCGGCTTCACTCGGTCACTGTGACGTAGGCGCGGGACCCGAAGCTTGTTGTCGTGCAGAACTTGCTTGACGTGCTGAAGCTCGGCGGCCAGGTGTTTGCTGTCACAGATCCCTCGTGCTCTCTGTAACAAAGATTTGCCCACGGTAGCTAACTGTGAAGGATGGTGGTGAGATTCACCGTTTAAATATCGGTTTGTATGGGTCTTTTTCCTATACACAGTGTGACCAATGGTGTTATTAGGATTTCGGATGACTAACACATCTAGGAAAGGTAAGGAATTATTTACCTCTAACTCCATAGTAAATTGAATTTTAGCGTTTATGGAATTAAGATGTTCTAAAAAATGCAGTTACTTTGTCTGATGGTAAAATTGTGAAAGTATCGTCTACGTACCGCTTGTAGATCCTTGGTGTAACAGGTGCAGTAAGGAGGGCTTTCTCCTCAAAGTCTTCCATGAATATATCGGCGACAATGGGAGATACAGGTGAGCCCATCGCCACACCATCTACTTGCTTGTAAAACTCTTCCTTCCACAATAGATAGCCAGATGTAAGGCAATGTCTTAGTAATACTGCATATTCTGCTGGCATGTTATTTTCCTCTAGTTTCCTAGTTATAATTGAGATGTAGTCTTCATTTACGTCCAATATTGAGTCAGATTGATTCGCCAACTTACAGATTGGCTCAATACTTAGCTAAAATATTATCACCACTCAGAGGACACACAAGAGCACACACTAAGGATTCATACCATTTTGTCAGTGAGATAAAAAGACCTACATCTTACTGACAATGAAACCATGGTCAGTTTTGATGTTCAGTCTCTATTTACATGCCTACCTGTTGAAGACTGCATCTCAATTACAAACATATATAAAACAAACATATATAGACTACAAACATATATACATACAATAAATATATATTTAATTATTTAACTAAATGCAATAATTAAAACTACTTTTACGGATTTTATCGCGTTTATTTATTTTAAATAAATAAACGCGATAAAATCCGTAAAAGTAGTTTTAATCATGTGCAATGTTCGCGTAAATATAAGAAATCATTAAATGCAATAAATATACTACATATATATTATATTATGACACCTTCACGACTTACGTCGGTTTTAATAAATACCCCGTCCTGCATCCCACAGAAAAAAAGGTATTTATATATCCCCATTAATGTGTTTTAAATTAATATAATGTTATAGTTTTGTATAGTACTATTTTCCAATATTGAGATGTAATTTAATGAAAATTATTACGCAAATTAAAAGATTCATTCAAGATGTATTTTCTGTATTTTGTTCGTCTTTTCTCATTCTTTTCCTCCCTCGTCCTCGTTTTTGTCGAGAATTTAGTGACTGTTGTACATCCGGATTATAATTTGTGTTAGATGAGTTCGGTGCATTTAATGATTGTTGTATGTCTGTTATGCATAATGATTGTTGTATGGTTTGCATGTGTTGTTCTTGGATGTTTAGTGAGCGTTGTATATTCGATGTGTTTGTGGTGTTTATTGTATCCGTTGTGCTTGGTGACTGCTGCGTGTTTGATGACTGTTGGGTGATCTGTATATGTAAATGGTCCGGTTGATTATGTACAAATACGATATCTCCTAGCACTTTAGTGAGTATAGTTGATGTGTGAATAGCTGCTTGTTTTTGAAGGATACTAATGTTAATATGACTATCTAATTTATCTATGTATTTCCTTATACTTTTAGCTACCACTCCCGTTGCTCCTATTACTATGGGAATGACAGTTGCTTGTGTATTCCACAAACGACTAACTTCAGTTTTAGCAGATGGTATTTGCTTAATTTTTCAATCTCCTTAGGTCCTATATTGTAGTCTGATGGTACAGTTATATCAATTAAGAATGTTTTATTACTTGTTTTATCAACATATATCAAATCAGGCCTGTTATGTGTTACAGTAATATCAGTTTGGACGGGCATTTCCCATATGATTTTAGCAAACTCATTTTCCTTAATTTGTGGTCGGATGAGGGTTTCTTGCCACCAGAGGTTAGAAACTTCTATTTTGTTCTTTTTAGCCAGACACCAATAGAGACGTACTGGACAAGGTTATCATGTCGCTTTACGTAATATGTCCCTACTAGTTTGTCACATCCTGATATTATGTGTTGTGTGGTTTCATCTTTATAGGAACACAGACGACATTTTCCATCTACTGGCTCATTTAATATGTCACGTTGATGTTGCCGCGTATCAATTGACTGGTCTTGTATTGCAAATATTGATGACTCTGTACTTGGAGATACCTGTTGCCTATTAGCCATTGATATGAGAGTTCTATGTCTATATTGGCCTGATCTAAAACTTTTTTAGGAAATTGTCCATGTAAGGGATTTGTTCGCCACAGTCCATTGTATCGTTTAACTATTGCCATCTTAATCTCTTTATCTGTATATGTATTTTCTTGTGTTAAGTGTAATTCTCTTTCTATCTCTTGTGCTTCTTTTATTATTGAATATTTATCTCTATGTATATCGTGTTGCGTTATTATTTTAATGAGATAATCGCTTTCTGTTTTCAGATATTGTTTATATTTTACTATCTGTGCTTTATACATGTACTCTATATTTATCAGACCTCTTCCTCCTTGTGTTACATATAAGTATAGCCTTTCTATTTCTGCTTTTTGCTGATGTACCTTTTAATTGATAGCAATTTCCTTGTTTTTATATCTATTTTCTTAAGATCGTTATTTTTATAATTTATTATGCCAAATGAGTAAAGTAAAACCGGGACTGCGTATGTATTAATACCTTTTATCAAATATCGTGAGTTAAGGTGGGTGTTCAGTAGTTTCTTGATTCTTTTAAAATATTCTTTAGTTATTTGATCTCTTATGATGCTGTGTTCTATCTTTCCTGATTCATGTATTCCTAAATATTTATATTTATCTCCTATTGCAAGTTGCTCAAAAGTTTCTCCACTTAAAAGAATATGACCTTCTCCTATTGCATTGCTTCTATACCCAGAACTCAGGTGTATTGTTTTGCATTTGTCTATTCCAAATCGCATTCCTATGTCACTTGTAAATACTTCCACACTATCCAACAGTACTTTCAAATTACTCTTATTGTTTGCATAAACTTTAAGGTCGTCCAGGTACAGTAGATGCTTGATCCAGAAACTGTCTTTGAGTTTATATCCTTTCAGTTTGTATTTATTAAGTATACAGGAAATTGGGTTAATTGCTAAGCAGAACAACAATGGTGAGAGAGAGTCACCCTGGAAAATTCCACGCCTAACATAAATCGGTTCCGTGGTAACCGAATCATGTGATCCACGGGCTGTCATGATCACCCTCCATAGTGGCATAGCCAACTGAAGGAATCTTTTAATCATTGGTGGACATTTATAGACATCAAGCACTATAAGAATCCATTCGTGAGATACACTGTCGAAGGCTTTTTGATAGTCAATCCATGCCATACTCAGATTTTTTGAGCTTGATGTGCATCCTCTAATATGGCCTTATTAACCATTAGATGGTCTTTACATCCCCTGGCACCACGGCGACATCCCCTTTGCTCTACGGCCATTATGTTATTCTTATCGCAGTGACTATACAAAACGTTGGCCAATATGGAAGTAAGTAATTTGTACATACTAGGTAAACATGCTATTGGTCTCCAGTTCTTTGGGTTTTCGGTGTTTTCATTTTTGGGTATTAATATAACTTGTCCCGTAACGAACCACTCTTAAATTATTTCTGTACCTGAAACTATCTTAGTGAATAATGAAGCTATGTATTTATGAACACTGGTTAGGTATTTTAAATAATAATTTTGTATTTTATCCATTCCAGGTGATTTCCAATTTAACAGTTTTCTGATAGCAAATTTTACTTGGTTTTCTGTTATCTCTTGTGTATCTTCTCTGTGTATTACACTTGACAGCATTTCTACTTCTTTTATCCAATTAGCATTCAAATTGTACTGCGTTTGGTTTGATAAAATTGAGTTCCAAAATACTTCCACTTCTTCTTTACTCGGTATTTTGATGTCTTTGTTGTTACTACACCCTAAAATTCTGTAGAATCTATGCTCGTTTTCATTAAAAAATCTATTCTGAGCTTTTCTAGTGTTAATGTCTTCGTATCTCTTTATTCTACCTGCTAAAGCTTTAACTTTTTGCCTAATAGTTTCTGTTATATTATTGTGATCATTATCATTCCGAATGCTGTATTTGGTATACAATTTTTCTTTTATTTTCATCATCCTGCACGTTTTGATTCCCTTTTTCAATTTCTGTTAATTGTCCTAGTTCCTTCCTAAATATATCTATTTTAGTTTGTATTCTTTTTTTCCATGGTGGATCACATTTTGGTTTTATAATATTATTAGTGATATAAGGTTTTTGATTGTTGTTTAATATAAGAGTTTTAGCCGCGGCGTATATTATATTATTTATCTCGCGCAAACTATTATTAGTAATTAAAAGATTAGGTAAATAATTATTTAATGTGTGTAGATTTTCTAAGAAACGCCTATTGATTTTAGCTTTAGGTAGAAATACTCGATCTTCAAGACTGATTTCATTAGTTTCCGCTAATATTTGAAGGAAGTGCAAGAGTAATGGATCTTGATCATCATTTACCATTATATTACTTGTCATCTGATCTATTGTTTCAGCTTGTTCAATGGTATGTTGAAAATTTTGTTCCGTAATGTGTATGAGTGTAGGTTGTGTATCTTGTACTCCAATGTCGTTTGAATTTGAGTTATCTACGGGTGTGATACCTTCTGCTTTATATTATATTATATTATATTATATTATATTATATTAAACGACTAGTGTGGGAGCGAAGTGCAAGGTAATGGTTCTTTACTAGTTTTTTAAAAACCGGTAGGGATGGAGCGCGTTTGACTGCCAATGGGAGTTCATTCCATAAACGAACGGCCTGTACAGTAAAAGACTTGTTAATAAATTTAATAGTATGTACACTACACTACACTACTATATACAATTTCAAGCTCTCTGCTGATCTCAGGTTACGCGAATGGGAATCACGAAGAAACACAAACCGATTTTTGAGGTAAGAAGGGTAAGAAGGATTAAAGAGAATACTATAGAGAAGATGAAGTATGTGAGCATTCCGATGAAGACGTATCGACAACCACTTGAGCTTAGTACGAAAAAGAGAGACATGGTCATATTTACGTAATCCAAATATAAACCTTATACAGAAATTCTGAATTCGCTCAAGTTTATCAAGCTGAGCTTCGGTGAGATCTAGATAGCTGACGTCCGCATAATCGAAAATAGGGAAAAGAAGGGACTTGGCAAGCACAGTTTTGGTGTATATTGGAAGAAAGTTACGTAATCTACGCAAGGAGGCTGCAGAGGCATAAACTTTACGGTGGATCTCTTTGATTTGATGGTCCCATGACAGATTTTTATCTATGTGAATCCCCAAGTTCTTCACTGAATCTCTGTAAGGGATATTAGTTTT